TCTAAGGTCGTAAGTACACTAAACAAGATGGTTAAGATGGAAGCATTTTGATAGATGATGGTAAAAATGACCTTCTGTATCTGTATCATGTCGAATGAAAGCTGATATTATATAATAAACGTTTTCTTCAATCCTCAATACGGAGTTTACTTGACGTATAACGCACATCTGGACTTTGACAAAAAGGGAAGAAAAGATAATCGCTGTGTTTGAGATGTGGTGCTACTGCAGAATGGACAGAATAAGCTGGAACGCAAAAGAAAAGACGAACAATGAGGTGTGTCAGATTCTCCATAAAAAGACAAACACTGCTTAACAAAATAAAATGTAGAAAATACAATACTTTGTTCACATAAAACGTCACCTGACCATTGTGAAAGAGGTGATTGAAGGATGGATGTGGGGCAGGAGAGCCAGGGATAGACAAAGAGTAACATGGATGGACAAAATTAAACCGTGGACTGGCCTGGATATGGCAGAATGTGCAACGGCAGCTCGCGACCGTGAACGATGGAGGGTTATTACACGTCAACCTCTGAGTCAGAGATAAAACCTCTAAGAAACTCGTACATCAGGGAGGGGGCTATCGTGGCCTAGAGGTTAAGGTGTTCTCTTCTCATTCAAAGGTCCCGGCTTCAAATCCGGGTAGCCACCGAAAATTTTTCTTCTCTAAAATTTTCTTTCACCTTCTTTCCATCTCTCTTGCAATATTTTGTCTTCTGCATTCGTCTCCACTTTCTTCCCCCACCCCTCACCTCCTTTGCCCACTCCTCTGGGCTCTTGACACTTTCTGCAGCCTTTGTGCTGCTACTTCTTGGCTCCTTTTTACTGCTGTCTTTCAGCCACACCCCTGATCTTCTGGTGGGAAAGATCTGCACATAGCTTTCTAGGACAACGGCGAAAAATTTCGGATGTCCCGTGTCCAAGTTGCGCAAGTTAAAGATCCCTTGGTGGTCTAAAATCGATAAGAGTAGGCTTCCGAAGCCATCAGGGCAAAATTCAAAATTTCCTACCAATTGAAAATGTTTGATGTGTCCCGTGCGCTCAATGACCTTATACAGTTGCGAGCGCCGTAAAACACTCACCAAAAACCCCCAAAAGTACGTCCGCGGTCTCCGGTCTCTGTGTGGCCAAAAA